GTCGTTGAATTCAAATTTGACTTAAAAAATGTCCGTTGAATACCCGCTCTCGGCGCTACATAGTGGTCTAAAAACTGGACAAAAATCAATTTTTGCATTTATTTCCAAATCTGTTTTGCAATATATTTTGGTTTTCTTTATTTCTTGAAGTAATACTTTGTATAAGCATAACGTCTTCCATGATGTTCTTTTTTTCATTTATTGTACTATCAACGTAGATCAAAACTCAAATTCTGTAACTCTCATATGGTATCTTTTATAGAATATATGTGTATTTGATAATTAAATGCCTTGAGATGAACATTTAGCAATATTTTCAATATAACTAAGTACTTTTAATATATAAAGTTATAATTTATGTGATCACATTTAAAAAAAACTGGTTTCTTAATGTAAAACATAATAAAAAGAACATTTATCATTTTTAATATATTTTGAGTAATATATTTTGATGTAATATATTTTGAGTATTCCACATCCTCCAACTTGGCGATAATGTGCATTTTGTTAGTTGATACCTCAACTTCAAAATCACGTCTTCGTAGCATGCGGAAACGTGCGTCTTTAAAAGTAACAACATAATAACTAAGAAAGCGGCATGGCATATAGGATGAGCGGCTCAATAAATAAAATTATTAACGTTGTAACGGCCGAACTCCGCGGTTCGGTCGCTGCTACGCGTTTCACGCGGATACTGCTCGTCGGAGTCCGGATTCGAGGAGGAGTAAAGCAGCGAGACACTTGATAATGGCAATCGAAATAACTTAGTTTTATTGTATGCTTACTGGGATACAAGAGTTCGGCCCCGAAGGCGGTGTCGCGGGTTGCGTCTATAAGGCGCGTCGGTACGGTACGGTGCGGTGCGGTGAGCGGTACAAGCGCTCGTACGGACAGATAGGCCGTGCGGAAGGCGGGGCCTATTGCGCGACGCGTGTAGACAGTAACGACGGTAACGACGCGGTGATCGGTCACGCTTCGCGACGCTGGGCGTCTCGAACAATTATCGCCCAATACTCGTCTCGAAATCGCTCGCGTATAAATGGTCGCCGGACCGGAGATTTCGATTCTCGGTCGAACGCACGCACGCAAGTCGCGGGATACGCGAAATGATTTCGTCCGTCGGGGCCGAGGACTCTCGACAGAGAAGGTGTACGCACCTTCCCTTTTCCCTACGTTCGCGGAGGAAAGCGACCAAGTGCTGCGGACACTCAGCGGAGACGGCGGACACACCGTCCCGGGTTCTTGGTCGCTAGACGGATTGCCTAAAGGCTGAGTACGCTCAGCGGAGTTCGCCGACGGACGAACCCTTGACTCAAGGTGGCGGGTAAAGGCGAGAGACTGTCGAGTACGCTCGACTGAGCACGCGCACGCACGAGCCCAGGAAGACGGGAGACGGCCAAGTATCGAGTACGCTCGATCGAGACTGCGGACGCACAATCCCGTTTGCTTAGTCGCCGGTCGGGTAGTCGGAATACGGAAAGCAGAGCGAAACGGTCCGGATATTCTCTCTTTCGGCATGAAGTGTCTAGATCGAATCGGCGGTACGGATCGGTCTGGTCTGGTGACTAGAAGTTCGATCGCCGCCGTTTTATAGTTGATTGCGCTACGATTGATACGACGGCGATCGAGCGGCGCGCCTATCGGCGCGAGGCACGGTGACGGCGCGTGATCGCGGCCGCGCGCGCTAGCGGCAGCGCGTGATCGCCGCGGCGCGCGATAGCGGCGGCGCGATCGTCTCGGTTCTTTAGGGTGGCGCAATGCGCCGTTCTTCGGCCCGACAGGTGGTCGGTCGGGCCGGTAGTAACGAGGTGCATCTGCGCCTCGTTACAACGTTTTTCAGCAAATAAAGGATTTTGCTTCATTATTAAAAAACCTTGTTTTTCTATTTATCCGACACTTCATAAAAGTCAATTCTCTTGAGACGAATCTAGATTTTCAAGATTTCGAGAACGACGAAGAGAGGCGACGCCAGCTACTGCTACGTAATATAGTCAGAGCTACTAAATCCTGACGATTTTACAGCAAATTCTTTTTAGCTGTTCAAACTATGCGCATACACATATGTGTACACGCGTACACACACACACACATATACACACACACACACACACCACGCGCGCGCGCGCGCGCACAGATGAAATTCCCGCTGTTGGTTCTACGTCATTGATCCTAGTAGCGCTATTTCTTAATTATTATACTGTTATTTTTAAAAACGCATGTTCCGCACACAATATTCTATATACCAGGTGTATGCATAAGTGTTTTCCGGTTTAACTAAGAGATGGCGCCAGCGAAAAGTACGCAGCGTATTAATTTCACACATACGTCATTTTGTTCGTCTGACATTAAACTACAAACACACACAAGTTGAGTCCGCCATAAACTAGCGTCTTTGTTTTATCGTTCAGTGATCATGTCGAGTTTTGTGCCTGAAAAAGAACATTTGCGGCACGCATTGCTTTTCTTATTTAATCAAAAGAAAAAGGCTGCTGAAAGTCAATGTTTGCTGGTAGAAACATATGGTGAACACGCTCCATCGATTAGAACATGTGAGACATGGTTTCGACAATTTAAAAGTGGTGATTTTAATGTGAAAGACAGTGAGCGTTCTGGTAGACCACAAAAATGCGAAAACGAGCAATTGCAGGAGTTATTGGATGATGACCCAACTCTAACTCAACGGCAATTAGCAGAAGCATTACATGTGTCACAAGAAACAATCAGCAGACGTTTACGAGCAATGGGGAGGATCAATAAACTCGGTAAATGGGTCCCACACGATTTGAATGAACGTCAAATGGAAAATCGCAAAGTCACTTGTGAAGTGCTACTTCAACGCCACGAAAGGAAATCATTTTTTCATCGAATTGTGACGGGTGACAAAAAATGGATTTATTTTGAAAACCCGAAGCGGAAAAAATCGTGGCTTTCACCTGGCGAAGCCGGTCCTTCAACACCAAGGCCAAATCGCCTCGGCAAGAAGACCATGCTCCGTGTCTGGTGGGACCAGAGCGGTATTGTATATTATGAACTCTTGAAGCCCGGCGAAACCGTTAATACACAACGCTATCGCCAACAAATGATTAATTTAAGCCACGCATTAATCGAAAGATGACCGGAATGGGCCAGAAGACATGGCAAAGTGATTTTGTTACACGACAATGCGCCGTCTCACACAGCAAAACCAGTGAAAGAAACTTTGAAATCGCTTGGATGGGACATCCTTCCGCACTCGCCGTATTCGCCAGACCTGGCGCCATCTGACTATCACCTCTTCGCATCAATGGCGCACGCGCTCGCAGACTAGCACTTCAGCAATTTCGAGGAAGTTGGAAAATGGCTCGACGAATGGTTTGCCGCAAAAGACAAGCAGTTTTTCTGACATGGTATTCATAAGTTACCTGAAAGATGGGCGAAATGTGTAGAAGCCAATGGCCAATATTTTGAATAAAACAAAATAAAACAAAATAAAACAAAATAAAACAAAATAAAACAAAAATTAATTTCCCTTGAAAATTACGTATTTTTTGTACCAAAAAACCGGAAAAAACTTATGCATACACCTGGTAAGATACCATATGAGAGTTGCAGAATTTGAATTTTGATCTGTGTTGATAGTAAATGAAAAGAAGAACATTATAGAAAACGTTATGCTTACACAAAGTCCCAGGTAGCAAGCAGACGTCATTTTGACGTTAAAAACTGGTCACTTTTAGTCATATGTCGTCAAAATGTCCAATTTATATACGGTCATTTACATGACTTCTAATTGACGTCAAAATGCTATACCACTTTGACGTCATATTTCAGTCATGAACTGACGATAATTGCGTACTAATATAATTATTTATAACGTTGATTCCGTAATAACAATTCTTTAAAATTTCGTATCAGGCTTTCGATAAGTATTAAAAGAGGTTTGTTTATATATAAATATATTAATATACAAATATATAATATATATAATATATATATAAATATATTTATATATTTTATATATAAATATATTTTACATATTCCTTTAGAACGAAAAATGTACGTCAATCAAATGCAAGAACTCACTTAGCGTTCAGTGAGCTGAACGCTTGTAATACTGAATGCACCCATTGGTCATGCTGGCTTCGCGTGTTCCGTTGTCCATGGGCGATTTTAAGCACTCGACGTGGAAAAGTGCAAATGGCGATCAGTGAAATATCTCTCTCGTTCGCTCATTCGCAAATTAGTTACTGTTACTGTGTAGTGCATATGTCATGTAGCTTGTGCTTATACAGCTCAATAGGTTAATGTAAAGGCTGAGTACTGAATGTAAGTACCTATTAAATGTGTATTTTATCATTAACCTTGAAAATCACGTCATGGACAGTGATGGGTATCATGGCTTTTTGACACATCTATGCACAGATACTTTTCAATCTGTGGGGAGGGAGAAGCTCCACAAAAACATATGTGGATTCCATGTGGAATGCACGTTGTATTCACGTGAAATCCACAAAATCACATGGATTTCACGTAGACACAACGTTCCTGTTTTCGTGGGGGAGATTCCCATCACTGGTCATGCCCAATAAGAAGGGGACGTGAAATCTAGGTAGATTTACGTTAATAGTTTACTTAGGTTAAATATGTTCAATGCAAATTAAAATAAAATTAATCTGATGTAACTTATTTGCAACTTTGTTAATATAATTTCACAATGTCTTGTGGGTATTCAATTTATCAGTAATACTCATGAAGAAGGTACAATTGCATTGATTAATCGATCATGGTTTACGCCTCTGAAAAGTTAAGTCTGGTGGCCTCCATACAAGACAAGTGTTCAATTAAAAAAAGCATTGTTTATTGAAGAACAAGTAAACGAAAATACATGGGCATTATATGACATGAAACGTATATTTTTTACTTGTGATATGTATTTTATGTATAACATTATACTCGTTTGTTATTTGTATAGTAATATAAATATATTTCAAAGTATTGTTATTTATAGATATAGATGAATTTGATAAGGCCTTTAAAAAATTAAAAGAATGTGAAGAAGTGTCTGATTTACAATCTACTGAAGTAGAAGATGACGTACAAAGTAAGAAAAGAAAAGAAAACGCAAACCAAATTTAAAATATATCAAGTAGTGAAGACGAATACGATAAAAACTGTGATTCTCTACAGCCACCGGCAAAACTTGATAAACCAGGTGAGACAAACATAATTTACATTTATAAGGATAAGAATATTATCATTGTTTTTCCCTTCATTTATTCTTATACTATGTTACAATATGATAAAATATTATGCACGTTTCATGTTACATATGTTTATAAAAACATATCCTTTTTTAAGTACATTTGAAAAATGGACCTTGGAAAACACAACGCAGGTACGTTGCAGATAAAAATTATGAAAATAGGAAATAAATGTATTGTTATTAATTACGTATTTATTTTAAGAATCTCTTGATTCTGATTTTTTGTGAAATTTTTGTTTGTTTACAGGGATTGTATATTACAAGAAATACCTACTAATTTTTCTGCAAGTTACACAAATAACGATGCATCTATAATTGCTCCAACTATTGATACTAGAACAAAAGTTACTAATTCTACGCTTATAAATAAAAATGAAAACAACAGTACAATAAACATAACAATGCAACACAACAAACATAACAACAGTTATGTTTGTTGTACGGTAAAGAAGCGTCATTGTTTAATATATGTGTTGTTCGCACTTTGAGTGAATTAAAAGCATGGCCTGTTAATCTCATTGACAGTAAATGTATTCTATTGCCTTATACTAACGATAACAATTGTTACGTATGCTTACCAATCGTACATAGTTTGGACTAATGTATTAGTTCAAATATCCTCTAATATGAGTTTTTTTTGTTATATTTCATTTAATTTACGAAAGTGTGATAATTGAAGAAATTGTGATTTTAGTTATACTGCCAAAGATTACATAACATGTTATATTCTTTTTCTATTTGATTCTATAATAATATATTATATATTATATAAATAAGAGCTTTTATGTTTCAATAAAAAAATTAATGATCTGATGTATATGTCTATGTTTGTACTATATTTGCATCTTCATTATATCCTAAATATATCATCTTGCTGCCTATATGCTGATAAATACGTCCAAATAAGGTCCATTTATGACGTCAAAATACGGTCCTTCTATGACGTCAAAAACGGTCCTTCCATGACATCAATATTTTGGGACATTCGGCCGTTTTTTGGACGTCATAACGACGTCAATCCCTAACGTCATTTAGTCAGAAAATGACTAATTTTCGACGTCATAATAACGCCTGCGGTATTACTTTAAGAAGTAAAGAAAACAAAAATATATTGCAAACCAAATTTGGAAATAAATGCAAACATTTAATTTTGTCTAGCACTTGGCGCCACAAAATGGCGGTTTCCAGTAGCTAATGATATCTTGTTATGGATACTTTCATCCTTATCTCCATTATTAGCAGATGAAATATGTTGAAGGAAACTACCTCTTTGCCGAATGGTTCTGGTAGAAACCTTGAATTTAGGACAGTCGTTATCTGCGACTAAAAAAACGTACCGAATTTGATAAGTATCCATAATGAAATATCAAAGGTAGCTACTTGAACTCCCCGTATTCGATCCGTTATTTTGAGTTTTGAAATTTCGACCTTGCATTCATCCCTAGCAACTAAAAAAATATCTTACACATAAACTTTCATATAAAATACGAAATTATTCGTTCTCACTAATTTTGGTACAAAATGTTGATTTCGGGTTTATCAATGAATGCACTAAACGATTTATTTAATACACAAAATTTGTTGAATATAGAGGAAAGCTAAAATATAATTAATGAGTTGGTATCGATGGTACGGAAAAATATGCAAATATCACGTGGCAAAAACGAAAACAAGACTCCTCCTCTCTTTCCCTTTTCGCCAACATTTTTCATTCAAAAAGAATCAATTTTTTTATTATAAAAAAGATCATCATTTACATCATAAAACTGCATATCGGCATATATACAAAAATATGTCCTCTATTCTGATTTAAATTTCAAAATCTCAAGATACAAACTCACTAAAATCGTAAGAGGATAATATTTCTGTATGTTTACTTGTCAGATTAATGTTATTAGCTTTTTATGGATACTAAACTGATTTGTACTTACACTGCAAGTGGGATTGGAAAATTCCTGTTTATGACACGACGATGTTTCATTATCATAATTAACCTTGTGAGACCGTTCAGGTGACTGAACTTTAGAATGACTTCTTTCAGAGGGAATATTTTTTTTATCATCTTTGGCATATTTCGCTTTTATATATTTATTGTTTGGCATATTATCTTCGCATCTGAAACACAAAAAATATCTTCACTCCTTCAATAAATATCATTAAGGGACTTATAACATATCTATTAACAATATGAGATTTTGTTACATTATTTTTAGCTGTTCGTTATTTATGTTCATTATTTTTAGCTGTTCGTTATTTATGTTATTTTATCACAGCTATTGATTTAGTATTAGAGCAAAAAGAGGAAAATTTCTGAATATTTTAAAAAAGTGTTAAGTTCATTCCATGTGTCATTTTATGAAGATATATATTTTATTCCAGTCTGTTTTATAAAAGTTTCGAATGTTATTCTATATGATCAAATCAATATGATCATAGAGTTCTAATAATCTTTAATAAAGAAACTAGGAATTTTAATAAAAAGTACCAGAAAATCGTAAAATCGAGAAGTAAAGATACTTGACCAAACACTTGATTAAAATATAGAAATTCCCATAAATATCGACATTTATTCTAAATCCATTTTAACTTGATTATATATAGTATAAGAATAAAAACTCTCGCTCATTGTACGTTTGTTTACTAGTTGGCAAATAGACAGAAGCGAATTGTTCACTATTCGACGAACACCATTCAAAATATTGGGTGAGTGCAAAAGTTCGTGCGGAGTTTCAATAGATGGAGTTATAAGCGTCGTAAAGTGTTGTCATTAATACTTCCATCTACATATTATATAACGTTGGAAAGGTGACGTCTTCAGCTGTTATTAAAAAAAAAAATCATTTGTTTTCATACAAACTGCTTCGAGAAATATCACTTTAAAAATGAGTATCGATAAGGTGCATTTACGGCATGTTATGCTTTACGAGTTTCGGAAGGGAATAAACGTTGCCACAGCCGTAAAAAACATTTAGGATGTTTATCAGGATGAAGCACCAGCTAAATGAACTGTGGAAAAATGGTTTGCTAAATTTCGGCGCGGAGAATTTAACCTTGAAGACGAGCCACGCTCTGGTCGACCTTCTGACATTGATGACGATGTTTTGCGTACTTTAGTGCTCAATAATTCGCGAATTTCAACAGAAGAAGTTGCTACAGCACTAAACGTTGACCGATCAACCGCTTTTCGGCGTTTAAAAAAGATGGGATTCGATTTGAAGCTCGATATATGGGTGCCCCATTTGCTGACCGAGAAGAACAAAATCAAGCGAATTTCTGCAGCCGTTTCTTTACTCGGGCGGCTCAATAACGAGTCGTTTTTGGATCGACTAGTGACGGGCGATGAGAAATGGGTCCTCTACAACAATGTTCAGCGCAAACGGACATGGAAACAATCAGGTGAGCATGGTGACGCAATGCCAAAGGCCAGTTTGCACCCGATGAAGGTGATGCTCTCTGTTTGGTGGGATTGCAAGGGCATAATCTATTTCGAGCTTCTACCCGCTGGCGAAACGATTGATTCGGACAAGTACTGTCGCCAATTAACCAATCTGAATCGAGAAATAAAAGAGAAACGTCCGATTTTGTCAAATCGCAAGGGAGTCGTCTTTCATCACGACAACGCCAGACCATACGTTTTGAAAAAGACGCTGCGCAAACTGAAGAGCCTGAAATGGGATGTCTTAACCATCCACCTCTCCTGATATCGCACCATCTGACTATCACTTGTTTCGGTCATTGCAAAATTATTTAAATGGAAAAAACTTTGACTCTTTGGAGGCCTTAAAAAACGGCGTCTCTTCGTTCTTCGAATCTAAACCGCGCAGTTTTTATGATCGAGGCATCCGTATGCTGCCAGAACGTTGGGAAAAGATTATAGAAAACGATGGAGAATATATCATTGATTGAATAAAGATTTTTGTTTGCCTAATCACTGTGTGACTTTTACTCACAAACTCCGCACGAACTTTTGCACTCACCCAATAACTAATGATAATATAATTGCTCAATTCATTAAAATACAAAAAAATACAAAAAACAAATAATCAAAATTCTGTAGATTCAATTAATAGAACTATAATGATGTAACCAATCGGACGTGGTTAGATAAATGGGTGCGGATGTAAGTGTAAGTGCGATTTTAAATAGACATTTGTTAGTATTGAGTCTACTTAGCAAATAAGAAGAAGATAAAGAAATGTAAGAGAAATGGATAATGAAATGATAGAAAAGTGAAGAAAAAGTTAGGAATAGAACAGGGAAAGAAAGACAGGAGAGTCGAGTAAAGCGGGATCATTTTAAAGTAATGATAAGGAGGGAAAGAAAGGATAGACTAATCAGGAAAGGGAATTTGGAGGAAAAACGAAGGAAAATGATAAAAAACAAAGGAAATGGATAGCAGAAAGAGAAAAGTAACTTTTAAAATAACTTTGAAAGGTGAGGTAGATAGTAATATAAAAAAGGTTAAGAAGTCGATAAATAATAAGCTCTGTTACATATTTGGCAATAGTTTGGCAACAGAATTTGATAACACAGATTTTACATCAAATTTGTGACCTGCCATCAAAAATTGATAGCAAACTTTGCTCGAAATTTGTTCGCGTAAGTTTAACTATTTGACGAGGGAACGGTCGGAGGTGTCCGTCATCGATTTGGATGGGCTTTGAATATGTTATAAAACATCAACAAATATCAGACCCATATTTTTTTATGTGCTTATCTCGAGGTTTAGGAGGTGAGACCACTCCTCGAAGAAAAGGAAGGTTTTCGTTTTTAGCGAATATGTCGAAAAGTATGAGGCAAATGAAAAAATGATTTATATAAAAGTTGTAGAGAATTTTATACTTTTCGCAACTGTGTACTCAGATTTTGCAAAATTTTGTTTACCCCCTCCCCCTCCTCATTACCCTCGCAAATTTTTAAATTTTTGTTAGGATGAAAATAAAAAGTATCAAATACTAAATTCATTCATGTATAATAATAGAAAATGGAAGCCGTTAATTTGGTTAATGTAGAGATAATACGAGGGTAGTTTGATAAGTCAGTGACTTTTTTAATAAAAGATATTTTTTTCGGCAAATAAGCGTTTTATTTCTCAACGTAGTCTCCTTTTAGCTCGATACATTTAGTCCACCGTTTTTCCAATTTTTTTATTCTTTCCAAATAATAGGTTTTCTCAAGGCCCTCAAAATAGGCGTTTGTTTCAGTGATGACTTCTTCATTCGACCCAAATCTCTTACCACCCAGCCATTTCTTCAGGTTTGGAAACAGGAAATAGTCGCAGGGGGCTAAATCTGGTGAATATGCTGCATGGGGTAGCAGTTCGTAGCCTAATTTATGGATTTTTGCCATGGTGACTACACACGTGTGCACCCGTGCATTGTCCTGATGGAACAGCACCCTTTTCTTCGCCAAATGCGGTCGTTTTTGCTTCAAATCAATATCGAATTTGTCCAAAAGCTCTGAATAATATTCGCCGGTGATCGTTTTACCCTTTTCAAGGTAATCCATGTGAATGATACCGCGTGCATCCCAAAAAACTGTGGCCATGACCTTGTTGGCCGACAGACCCACCTTGGCCTTCTTTGGTGCACGTTCACCCGAAGAAACCCACTGTCTTGATTGTTCCTTGGTCTCTGGTGTGGTGTGATGGATCTATGTTTCGTCTACGGTAACGAAACGGCGCAAAAACTCGTTCGGATTGCGGCTGAACATCGCCAAACACTCCTTTGAAATGGTCACACGGTTGCGTTTATGGTCGAGTGTGAGCAATCGCGGCACCCATCGCGCGGATAGCTTTTTCATGTCCAAATATTCATGTAAAATGTGATGTACCCGCTCAGTTGAGATGCCTACAGCCTCAGCCACTTCACGCACTTTCATTCTCCGATCGTCCAATATCATTCCATGGATTTTATCGACGATTTCTGGTGTGACGACCTCTTTTGGGCGACCTGAACGTTCGGCGTCACTTGTGCTGGTACGACCACAACGGAACTCAGTAAACCACTTCTTAACCATTGAAATTGATGGTGCAGAGTCCCCATAGTATTTATCAAGCTTTGCCTTGGTTTCGGTGATGGTTTTTTTACGCAAAAAATAATGCTTAATCAGCACACGAAATTCACTTTTTTCCATTTTCGTTAAAATTCACGAGGTTGTCTGCTTTCAATGGCTGTCAAACACTAACTAAATGGCGCAGCTTGCCCAAACTTGTACAGTAGTCTATTAATAGATGGCAGTTGACAGGAGCAGTGCTGCATTTAAAGTTACTGCGCGGAAAATTCAAAAAGTCACTGACTTATCAAACTGCCCTCGTAACATGGAGCTATAGACGCTGCGCCATAGGTAGGCGCTCCTTATTTACGCTATACTCGATATCTCTGTATTTTCTTTTGTATAAGCTGATAAAAACTCCTAATGCTATACACAACATATTAAATATCATATGAATGTGAGTTCGTATGCAGTTATTTCGTTTCCAATAAAACAAGTACGAAATCAGTGGATAAACTCAAGAGTGGCTTAAAAGTCAAGACACGTCTATGAATTCTGTTCATAAACAGAATTGGTACAGCTTTCCAGAGCGATAAACGTTATCGTGCATTTTGATTATTGACGCACATCCTTTGATACTGGTCGACTTCACTCTTTATATCTTGAATGATTTTCGATAGTATTTATATCTTATAATCGTATGGAGTAATATGTACATGTATCTTGTTGAACATAGGGCGACTATACAAACGTGCGTCATACCGGAAAAGCTGGCATTTCATGCAGTGAGTTGATAACGTAAAGTAACTGTAAAGTGAGTTGGTAACGTATTGTAAAATATTAGGTTTTCTTGCACATGTAAGTATTCTTTGCATTAATATTATTGAGATGACGACATATTTAATATATACCCTTTTCTTCGAGGGGTGGTTTCACCCCATAAACCTCGAGATAAGCACATAAAAAAATATGGGTCTAATATTGTTCGATGCTTTATAACATATCCAAAGCCCATCCAAATCGGTGACAGACACCTCCGACCATTCCCTTGTGAATAAGAGGACAAGTTGGCGTAATGTTGTGTGTCGGCGTTGTATCTGGTGAAGATAGCACGTTGTACG